TTGCTTGCCCTACGGTATTCCGGCTACGGCCTGTTCGGCCCGAGGGTCTGTAATTCCTCCTTTCCAGAGGAGCGGGAAACGGTTAGTTCCACGTTCCACGTCCATTTCAGTCTTGACAGCTCGAAAGTTGGATACGTCAGCATCGGTAAGGCGTGGAAACGGGTGACTACCCCAGCAGCCTTCCAAGTGGAAGCCAGGGCACATCCGAAGAGTTGATTAGTACCCTGCTAAAGGATTTCTTTACAGATGTCACTGCCTGCCTACTTTGAAAGAAAATCTTTCCTGCAGGAAATTACCTGTGTCTGATAGGGAAGTCACTTGTTATTTAATACATTTTTAAAATATACAGTATTCATTTCTACAGGAAATGCATTGCAGTGCTCTCAGAGACAGCCTTTCATCTGTGACCTGAAAAATGCATACAGACAGTAATTATCTCTCTCCTTACCACTATGAGGTAGATACTAGTATTTTTGCATAAGTGTAAACTGAGTCATGCCAATGTTGACTTTTCGCAGGTTAGCGTTAGAGTGTACAGTCTAAGATATCTATCTCCTGTTAGCTCCCAAATGGCCTCCATTTAACTCATAATGTATTAAAAATACTAAGTTCTACAGCTTCTAGAAGGCAACTCTAGCACACTTTTTCTGAACCTGTGATCTTGGGTGAAATTGATAAATTTCACCAGTGAGAGTCATGGATCACAAAGTAGTAAACTGAAGAAGTTCCAGCTTTTTCTGGTAATTGCCAAGACTTAACTGTTTTAGGTTTAAAAAATAAATAAGAAAGATAGAACAGCCAATGGTGCAGCTTTAGCTAATGTCCTGTTTGGAAATCATTTCTAAAGCCAATGACACCCTTGTTTACTGATTCTAGTTCTATGATTGAATACTTGATCATTCTGTCTGGGTGTGGTTCTGTCAGGTAAGGCTTCTGTATAGGTAAATGGAAAACTTTAGCTTCCCCAAATCACTTGATTACGGCTTAAATTCTCTCGTGACAGTAGATCTACAAGATAAATGTCATATTTAAGCTATTGTATGTAATTGAACAGGAGGTTTTATTTATAAAAAGCAATTCTGTATTAATTAAATACCACACATAGTAAATTTACTGGATAGATTCTTTAGGTGAAGAATATACTACTATTCGTGTGTCTGTATTCTTTTTTTTTAACTTTGAAATACATTTTTTTCTTGACATGTTTAGCTTTAGCTTTATGTCATTGCCATTATCAATCTCAAGTTTTTCTACCATTGAGAACAAAGAAAAGTCAATGTTAATATTTCTACCTTTAGCATTTTAAAGAATAGTCAGAAAGCATGTGCATTCACCAGAGAGGAAGAAAGCGACCCCCCCAGTGGGACTTGATAATGCCATAGTCTTTTATCCATTTCTCCATCCTTTTAGGATTTTGAGCTTGCTCTTAAATGCACCCAGTGTGTTTTTCCAGCCGACATGGCAGTATTCAAACTGTGGGGTTATAAGGTCTGACTACTTCTACCCGCCATGCTACAGGGCAGGCCCAAGCATTTAAAATTTTTTTTCTGAGAAAGATGTACAGTTACTAGGCTATGAAACTGCTGCCTAGTATTCTTACAGAGAAAAGCACAGGTGTTCTCAGTTCAGTGATTCATAGTAAATTATTTTCTGAACATAATCTTGAAAATACAGGTAATGCCTATCTTCTAAGATTTTTGTGCATGAAGAGCAATAACAGTAACTGTACAGTGTAAGACACACTATAGACAGTGAGGTAGTGATAGCTGTACAGTGAGGTTTAGGGGCCAGCCATATGGTATAGCAGTTAGACCCCACATAGATAAAACCACATCTCTCATGGTTGACCGTGATTTCTGTGCTGGCGTTGGTAGCTCAAAAATCATGCAAAGTGCACATGTATATGCCCCAGATCCTGAGGTTTTGGAGTACAAAGAATGCAGGGTTGCTGGACCTCGTTGTAGAGTGCTATGTTTCTCTTGTGCACGCATGTACCCTCTGACATTAAAGACCAAGTAAGAGGGCCTAGCAGATGGTGTAATGGACTCTCATGTAGTTCTTGTGCACGCATGTACCCTCTGACATTAAAGACCAAGTAAGAGGGCCTAGCAGATGGTGTAATGGACTCTCACGTAGTTCACTGTGGTTGAATCCCAGACCTGGTGGTCTAAAACTCACACTGGGTACGTGCGCATGCATGCCCAAAATCCCAAGAGGAGAATGGAGGAGAAGGGATTGCAGTGTGGCCAACTCCCCTGAGGGGAGGGTGATTTCTCACTTCTGTCTCTCTGGTTAGCGCACATACCCTAGCAAAAATCCCTCTCTCTTAAAAAAAAAAAAAAAAAGGAAAAGAAAAACACAAGTGAGGGGGCCAGCAAGTGACATGGTGGTTCAGGCACTGAACTCCCATATGGCTGACCACAGTTCGAGTCCCGGACCTGCTGGCTTGAAAATCACACTGGGTGCATGTGTGTGCATGCACAAAATCCTAGGTGGAAAGTGGAGGAGATGGGATTGTGGCATGGCCGTCCCCCCTTGGTGGTGATTTCTCATTTTCCGTCTCACTGCCTCTGTCTAGTGAGTATATGCACCCTATGGCAAAAAAATAAAAAAATATTTAAAATAAAAAGTGAGGTTTAGGATTATCATCTGGCATTTGAGATAATTAAATTGTTTTTAAGAGATAGTTTGGAGGAGGTCATTGAAGTGTTTTTTCTTATTGTTCCTCTTGTTTACTTCCTCTACCACCCCATTTGTGTGCTTCCTCTTTTACATTTGTGGGTAATTTGGTTAAAAGTTGAGTACTTTAGTATGATTTCATTTTGTTTTGGGTAGGTAGCTTACCAATAGTATAAAAACAAAAGTACAAAAGACTACACAGTGAGAAGTAGCCTCTTTTCTTCCCTAGCTCCCAACCATTCGATTCTCCCCAAAGCAGCCACTTCTTGGTGTTACGTAGTGAATATGCTTTAACAGACATGCGTATATAGTTCTGACACCTCTTCCCTTTAAAAGTAGTTTATGTAAGCCCTGTTTGCTACCTTGCTTTTTACCTTTTTATATGAAATTAGCACATACATTGTAAGTGCACAACTCAATTACAGACTGAGCAAATAGTACCTCCTATGTCTAGAAATCACATACCACTACCAGTAGCCGAGACACTTGCAGAGTCTGCCTTGTGTCTTCAGGCGTTACCCTTTCCCAAAGAAAATCATATCCCAACTTCTCACACTATGTTTTGCTTACTTTAAAGTTTAAGTAAATGGCATAGATCTAGCTGTCTAGTTTCTGTTGGTTAGCATTTTGAAATTCATCTATGTTACTCCATATAACTAGTTTAAGGTATTATATGGAATTCCTACCTTTTACTTCTAAACTCCAAGATGTTGCTATATCATTTACACACACATTCTTCCAGATTTTCTGTCTACTTAATAGTGCAAGACTCTATCTGCCTTTCAGATACTGTGTTTATTTTGCTTCCTGTTTTACTCATTTGTAATTACTATTAATCTGCAAACATTTTCCTTTATTCACTGTAGGTTTTATCATTTATACCATCTGCTTAATTTTAAGTCATAATTTAATAAAATATTTTTCTAACAGGATTTTCTGACTAAGAACAAATACAAAGCAATCCCTATTCTTTAGTTTCCCATTAAGAAAATCCAAGATATATTCTGGTTAGCTTCACCATATAAATTTGGGAGATGAGGATTATTTTACCAGTTTTCCAGTAGATGTACCCTCTAAGTTGAGAGTTAACAATCTGGATTGTATTTTTAGCATGAGAAACTTTATCTAGAACCACAAATACCTGTTTATATACTGTAAGAGGAGTTGATTTTATTTTTTAAATGTATGTGATTGCCATAACAAGCATTTACTGTATTACTTCAAATGAATTTTACTAAAGGTCTCATTTTAGTGATACCAAAAATTCATGAGAATGAACCCATACCCCCAGAAATAATTATTAAATCTATATTCAATATCTTTGCTGCTTTTAAAGCTGATGCTATCAGGTGACATAAAGCAAATGTGCCTTCCCAGAGTTGCTTTATTCAAAATCAAATAAGTGAGTAAATTATTAAAATCACAATAGATTTTTTTTTTCTTTTTTTAGGAGAGGTTTTTGCTATAGGGCACGTGCGCTCGCCAGACAGACAGAGACAGAGAGACAGACAGCGAGAAATCATCCCCCAGACGGGATGACCATGCCATAATCCCTTCTCCTCCATTCTCTTCTCAGGACCTTGGGCACGCACGCACACGCGCCCAGCGTGAGTTTAAGCCACTGAGTCCGGGACTCGAACCACGGTCGACTACGTGGGAGTCCAGTGACATAGCCATTATGTTAACTGCTGGTCCCAAAATCACAATAGATTTAAAAGTACCTTTCAAGCTATTATTTGCTAAAAAGAAAACAAGAAAAAACCAGTTCTGGACTAATGAAATCATTAGGACTTGAATTCAGCAGAGCCACATCTATCATCCTTCATTTATATACTTACTAGCTTCAGTGTACTAGTCTAAGTTTGTTACTAAGGTAACCAACAAGTATAAAAATACAGATTTGAAATTTATTCTCTGACCAGAGAAATAAATGGCAAAGGGCACAAACCTAATGGTTATATGTAAATACCACAGGTTATCATGGTAACTAGTCATTACTATGCTAATCAAGATTTTTTAAATCTTATTAGACTGATGTTAAGAGAAAAAAACATAAGTTTTGAAACCTTTACATTTCTTGAGACAAATAACTATTCTAATATAATAATTCCAATGGAATTTACCTGTAATTATTAGCAATAATTTAATCTCTCCAGGATGTTGACCTTGAAAATTTAGCTTAACTACATCATTAATGCACAATATTGGGTAAGTTCTAAATTCTGATCTCCACCTCTTAAGACTACATTGTTAAGAAAATGACCAACCCAATTAAAAGATGAGAAAATGAGCTGAAGAAACAACTCCCTAAGGAAGACATGAACAATCAAAAAACATGAAAAAATGCTCAGCATCCCTCATCATAAGGGAGATGCATATCAAAACCATAATGAGATAACCACCTAACCCCAGTCAGAATGGCAAAGATTAAAAAAAAGAAAAAAAAAAAAAAAAAAGATGAGTGCTGGTGGGGATGTGGTGAAAGGGGAACACTCCTACATTGTTGGTGGGAATGTAAACTGGTCCAGCCACTGTGGAGAACAATATGGAGGTTCCTCGGAGACCTTCAAATAGAACTACCACATGACCCAGCAGTTCCTCTCCTGGGTATCTACCCGAAGGACAGGAGAAAATTCAGTCAGAAAAGCACTTGCACAACTATATTTATTGCAGCATTATTTTTATTATTTTTTTTGGAGAGGTTTTTGCTATAGTGCTCATGCGCTCGCCAGACAGAGAGAGACATAGAGACAGAAAGCGAGAAATCACCCCCGAGGGGGGATGGTCACACCGCAATCCCTTCTCCACTCTCTTCTCGGGATCTTGGGCACGCACGCACACGCGCCTGGCGTGAGTTCTAAGCTACCAGGTCCAGGACGCGAACCGCGGTCAACTACGTGGGAGTCCAGTGACATAGCCATTACGCTAACTGCTGGTTCCCTATTGCAGCATTATTCATGATTGCTAAGACATGGGACCAACCCAGATGTCCACAAACAGATGAATGGATTGAAAAAGTGTGGCACATATACTCCATGGAATACTGTTCAGCCATAAAACACAAGGCCCTGGAATTTGATAGAAAGTGGGCATATATGGAAGATTTATTGCTGAGTGAAGCAAGTCAGGCTATGAGAAAGAGACATTATATATCTCCACTTAACTGTACTCTATGGTAGAGACAGAAAGTCTAGAGGACATAAAAACATTAATAATTGTTATGGACACAGACAGAGTGGGAAGAGAGCGTTGGAAAGGAAATTTGGTGTATATATAGGTAAGACATTTGTGGGACAGATACGGTTTATTATTTATTGTTGAGGATGTGTATAGTATTCTTAACTGGGCTGGACTAAGGTGTATATCATGCTGGGTAAAGTCTGTTTAAATCTAAATGATGTATAGCAATTTAATGTATAAATAATAATTTTAAAAGACTACATTATTACATTTGGTTGGGAAGATATAAAAATATAATTTTTTTTAATGTAGTTTGGATGCTCTTCCAAGAGTCACGTGTCCAAACCATCCAGATGCAATTTTAGTGGAGGACTACAGAGCTGGTGATATGATCTGTCCTGAATGTGGCCTGGTTGTTGGTGAGTAGTATGGTTTTAATTTAAAGCACTATTTAATGTTACTTTAAATACTATTTAAGGTATATTTTTCAGTGTCTTTCAATAAACATTCTGACCCTTCCATACTTATTATTTAAAATACCCATACTTATTATTTAAAAAACCAACATATTAGGAAGCTGAATCAAGAATAAGATTATTTAGAAACACTGTGTTTTATTATATATGTAAATGCCTTATTTTATAACATGAGATAGGTGACCAAAAGAAACAAAAAACCCATGGTTACTTCTTGAGTCTTCCTGAGTCTTAAATATTTGTTGGAGGATTGAGAGAGAAACATGACTTCATGGATGTTAAGTAGCAAAAGTAATCCAAGTTCTGTCTTTTGTGTACTTTGGAAAGTAAACATGATTTATTTCAGGATAATAAAGGTATGTCTGTACTGAGTCTCATCTGAAGTCTTTTAGGCAACAAAAAAGATTTGTTGTAACTTTCATATGAAATCATATATTTATTTATTAATATCTTGTATAAGATTATTACTGCCAAAGATGCCTGTTCTTAAAATATCACTTTCATTCTTACTTGCTCACTAATCTAAATATGTGGCATAATTTTAGATTAGAGATGGTCTGTTAAGAATTATTTTTAGGGCCAGCAGAGGGCATAGGGTTATGTCACTGAACTCCAACATGGCCTACTGTGGTTCAAGTCCCAGACCTGGTGACTTGAAACTCACACTGGGTGCATGTGCATGTGTGCCCAAGATCCCAGGAGGAGAATGGATTGCAGTGTGGTCATGTCCCCAGGGGTGATTTTTCATTTTCCTTCTCATTGTCTCTCTCTCTCTGTCTCCAGTGAGTGCATGTGCTCTAAGACAAAAAGCTAAAAAAAAAAACCCAAAAAACAAAAACCCTTATTCTTGAGACCAGCAGGTTATGCGGTGATTAAGGCATTATACTCCCAGTGGTCTGAGACCTGGACTCTGGATCTGGTGGTTTGCATATTTTTGCTTTCCCACTCTCAACATACTCTCTTTCTCTGTATTTCTCTAGTAAGCATACGTGCCCTATGACAAATTTAAAAAAATAATAATAAATAGGGGCCAGCAGGTGACATGGTGGTTAAGGTGTTGGACACTCCCACATGGCTGACTGCAGTTCGAGTCCCCGACCTGGTGGCTTGCTTCCTCCCTTTCTCTCTCTCTCTTCTCTGGTCAAATGAAAATAAATCAATGAATAAAAAAAATTAAGAAACTAATAATAAGTAAAATTTAATAAAAATAATTCTTTTTTTTTTTTTTTGGAGAGGTTTTTTTTTTGCTATAGGGCGCGTGCACTCGCCAGACAGACAGAGAGAGAGACATAGAGACAGAAAGCGAGAAATCACCCCCCAGAGGGGATGGTCACGCCGCAATCCCTTCTCCTCCATTCTCCTCTCGGGATCTTGGAAATGCACGCACACGCGCCCGGCGTGAGTTTTAAGCCACTGGGTCCGGAACGTGAACCACGGTCGACTACGTGGGAGTCCAGCGACATAGCCATTACGCTAACTGCTGGTTCTCTAAAAATAATTCTTTAAAAGAAATTTTAAAATAAAAAAAAAAAATTCAAAGAATTATTCTTGGGGACCAGCAGTTAGCGTAATGGCTATGTCACTGGACTCCCATGTAGTTGACCACGGTTTGCATCCTGGACCCGGTGGCTTAAAACTCACGCTGGGTGCGTGTGCGCGCGCGTGCCCAAGATCCCAAAAGGAGAATGGAGAAGGGATTGTGGCGTGGCCATCCCCTGGTGGGTGATTTCTTGCTTTCTGTCTCTCTCTATCTGGCGAGCGCATGTGCCCTATAGCAAAAATCTCTCCAAAAAAAAAAAAAAAAATTCTTATAGTTGGATTGCAGCCCATACCTGAGATATAGGTAATACTTAGCAGTTCTAATTACTTAGGAATGAAAATGCTTGTAGGATGGTAGGAAGTGTAATAGAAATATCAGTAGTTATGGGACCAGCAGATGTTGTAATGGTTATATTGATGGACTCCCACATAGTCGACCACAGTTCAAATCCCAGACCTGGCAGCATAAATCATGCTGAGCAAGTGTGCCTGCATGCCCAAGAAATGAAATGACAAAAAGAAATGAAATATCAGTAGTTATTTACTGTGGAATTTTCTTACTCAAAGAATATCTGAACTATTCCTCTAAGAAGACTCCTTGCCTCCGACCTACTGTGGGAGTCTCAAAGCATACGGAGTTGCTAATAGAAATTGAGATTCATTTCCAATTACATTCTACTCAGTAAACAGTATTAACAGCTAATACATTAACTATATACTAAATACCGTTCTAAATGATTTACATAATTCTGTTTATTCTTATAACTAGCTGGTGAGATGGTTACTAATGTGCTTTTGTTGTTGTTTTTAAGTTTTGTTACAGTGCAATCACCAGAACAAGGGGGGAAATACTAGAGGGGATGACCCATAATCCCTTCTCCTAGAGGGGGTGACCATGCCACAATCCCTTGACTTTTATAGCACCAACTGGGATGTGATGGTGAAGGCAGCTGGATTCCATATAGCTGAATGCACAGTTTGAATACTGAACCCTGTGACTTAAAAAAACCCACACTGTATGGGGCACGCAGGTGGTGTAGTGGTTTAGAGCACTGGACTCTCACAGTGGCTGACCACGGTTCTAGTCTCGGACCTGGCAGCTTTCTTTCTCACTATCTCCCCCGACTCTAAAAAAGGTCAAATAAATAAATAAAGTTAACTAAAATAATTCTTTAAAAAACAAAAAACAAAAAAACACTATGTATGTGCGTGCATGTTAACAATTCCATAAAGAGAAATGGAGAATGAACTGTGGTGTGACCATCCTCCATGGAGAATGCTTTCTTCCTTTCCCCCTGTTTCTCTCTAGCAAGCACATGCACTCTAGCAAATTAAAAACAAAAAAGAACTCGGGACCAGCAATTAGCGTAATGGCTATGTCGCTGGACTCCTATGTAGTTGACCGCAGTTCGAGTCCTGGACCCAGTGGCTTATACTCACACCGGGCACATGTGCGTGCGTGCCCAAGATCCCAAGAGGAGAATGGAGGAGAAGGGATTGCAGCGTGGCCATCCCCCCTGGGGAGTGATTTCTCGGTTTCTGTCTCTCTGTCTCTCTCTGTCTGTCTGGCGAGCGCAAACGCCCTATAGCAAAAACCTCTACAAAACAAAACAGAAAAGAACTTTTACTTCTTTTTTTTTTTTTTTTTTTTTTTTTAAGAGAGAGAGTTTTTCGCTATAGAGTGTGTGCACTTGCTGGAGAGACAGAGTGTGGCAGAGATAGAAAGTGAGAAATCACCCCCAAGAGGGGATGGGCACACTGCCATCCCTTCTCCATTTTCCCTTTGGAATCTTGGACAGGCACATGCACACCTGCCGTGATTTTCAAGGGTTTGGGTCTAGGACTCAAACCACAGTCGGCCTGTGGGAGTTCTGCAACCATTATGCCATCTACTGGTCCCAAATTTTACATTTTTCAAGTGGTTGAAAAACCTCAAAAGAGGGACCAGCAAATGGCATAATGGTTACTTCGTTGGACTCCCACATAGTTAACCATGGTTCGAGTCCTGGACCTGGCAGCTTAAAACTCACGCCAAGCCTTTGTGTGTGTGTGTTCAAGATCCCGAGAGGAGAATGGAGCAGAAGAGATTGCAGCATAGCCATCTCCCCTTGGGGATAATTTCTCACTTTCTGTCTCTCTGGCACATGTACCCTATTGCAAAAATCTTTCTCTCAAAAAAGAGAAAAGAAAAACCTCAAAAGAATGTTATTATTTATTAATAGTAATATTTTGGGACATCTGAAAATAATATCAGACTGAAATTTTTGTATCCATAAATAAAATATTTTTGGGACATACAATAGCAATACTCACTTGTTCATATAGTGTTCTTGGCTGCTCTCACAGTACAGTAGCAGAGCTCAGTAGCAGTAGAATGGTACTCTTCATCAGTCTGTTCTGCTGCCCAGAGTACTACAAATCTCAGTGACACAGTTATAACTCGGTAGTGTTTTCAGTGCCATGTGTTTTGACATATTGTGACATGGTTTTTATTAACATGACATGCCTGTCATGTCAAAACAAAAATTCTTTTGAATGGCAAGCTTTTAAAACAGTAGAGTGTGGATTATTTTGTTATTGAATCAGTTGCTAAAGCGTTGTGGTGTTATGCAGTGATATAGCTGTACTAAAAGAGTACATAAGCATAGATAATACCACACTAAGCCTTCATCACAGTACTCCTAATTCAGGGAAAAAATGGGCCGAAGAAAATGTAAAATGTAATATCTAATCACAGCAGAATTTCTTCATAAAAATAAAAGAATAAAAACAAGTCTGCTGCTGGGAACCAGCAGTTAGCGTAATGGCTATGTTGCTGGACTCCCACATAGTTGACCACAGTTCGCGTCCTAGACCCGGTGGCTTAAAACTCATGCCGGGCACATCTGCATGCGTGCCCAAGATCCCAAGAGGAGAATGGAGGAGAAGGGATTGCAGCGTGACCATCCCCTCTGGGGGGTGATTTCTCGCTTTCTGTCTCTATGTCTCTCTCTGTCTGTCTGGCGAGCGCACGTGCCCTATAGCGAAAACCTCTAAAAAACAAACAAACAAACAAACAAAAAGTCTGCTGGGCCAGCTAGTGGCGTGGTGGTTAAGGTGAATGGATCCCACGTGGCCAGCTGTATGGTTTGAGTCCTGGACCCAACAGCTTGAAAAACATGTCAGGCATCTATCTGTACAAGATATCCAAAATCCCAAAGGGAGAATGGGGAAGGAATTGTGGTCATTCCACTGGTAGGTACTTTCTTACTTTCCCTGTCTCTTGTGAGCTTACACTCCCTTTACCAAATAAAAAAGAGAAAATGGGGACCAGCAGATACATAATGGTTATGTCGCTGGACTCCTGTGTAATCAACCTTGTATCTATTAGCTTTTTTTTTTTCTTTTTTTGGAGAGGTTTTTGC